TAAAGTCACGTAAAAGAGAAATAATAAAATAATAACAAATAAAACATAATAACATAATTCTCACGACGTTTCGGCCACAACGCAAGCAGTCGTCCTCAGTTGAAGAACAGGTCTGTCGGAAAGACAGCGTCTGAATTAAATCACGTTGGAGATTAGTCCACACACTGACAGCTGCTGTACCGCCCTCTGGCTGTTGTCTGCGTGCGTGCCGCGGCTCACCCTGACGATTCCTTTCGCTCTCCTCCTCCCCTTTGTCGCCCTCCCCAGATGCCTGCGTCCACAACGGAGTCTACCACCAGGTGGGTGACCGACGGGCGGGCGGGCGACACCAGTTGACGAATTTGTCTGTCAAGCCCACAAAACGTGGCCAATGAGTTGCTCGTTCAGCACTAACCGGTTGTGTGTGTTTGTGGGAGAGTCAACCACTCCCCTGCAACGATGACGGTCGGTCGGCTTTAACGTCGCGTTCATATTCACGCCATCCGACCCAAAGTTAAACAAAGAACACCGCTCCATCGTGGGATGATATTGGCCACGACTGCTATGCGTTAACCAGCATAGAGAGCGGCGGTTCTCAACCGGAGCGGGGAATTTGGGAGTACGCGTGACCCCCTGGGGTGACTTACAGGGCAGCATCCCGGGGCAGGCGATCGTACGAGGTGATCCACCCGCGCCACCGAGCACGGGGAGATGAGCCATGGCCGGCGTTTCAAGTCCGCTCGGTCGCCCTCGGATCGGCGCAGGAGAGAGACCCCCCCCACCCCGTCTCCAAAACCCACGAACGGGGCGTCTCCCCCCCCCCCCACCCGCCCCGCCAGGTTGGCGAACGCTGGAACGACACGGCCAACCGCTGCGTGCTCTACTCCTGCGGGCTCGTGGGCGGGCGAGCCGCCATGCAGGAGGCCATCACCAGCTGCGCGCCGTTCAACTTCGACCACTGCGAGGTGACGGTCGCCCCCCCCCCCCCCCCCGGACTCCCCCCGCCACCCTCCCCCCCCTCCCACCACCCGTGTGATGGGAGGGTGGGAGGAGCAGGGGGTGGAGGGACCATCTCCCCCCAACTTCCTCTCCCCCCGTGTCTCCTCCCCCCACCCCTCCTCCTCTCTCCTCGTGTCTCCCCGCTAGACATGCCATACAGGACTCGGTCGAGGTGGTCTACGACACTCAGGGCTGCTGCCCCGTGTCTCCCCCCTGTCTCCCCGTGTCACCTCCCCCTGTCTCCCCATGTCTCCTGTCTCTCCGCTGGACATGCCGTATAGGACTCGGTCGAGGTGGTCTACGACGCTCAGGGCTGCTGCCCCGTGTCGTGCCAGCCCCGGGTGGAGCCCTCGGACTCCCCGCTGTGCCGCACGTTCAAGACGCTGGAGGTCGTCCGCGTGGGGTCCTGCAACAGCTCCGAGCTGGAGCTGGGCCACTGCAGCGGCACCTGCCAATCCTCGACAACGTGAGGACCACCTCCTCATCCGTCATCGTCATCATCTTCTTCATCCTCTACGGAGACATCATCATCGTCATCATGGCCATCGTTGTCATCATCATTGCCATCGTCAATGTCACCATCATCATACTACTCACTGTACTTTACACGACTGTACACTACGCTATACACTACTATACACTATACTTTATACTACTATACACTGCACTATACACTACACTATACACTACACTACACACTACACCACACCTCCGATTAGCGCAGTTGGCTACGTACGGTGCGAAAAAAGTTCAACATGGTCACCGTACCACTCGCCAGGCTCCTCCTCACCCCTCTCCTCACCCCCCCCCCCCTCCTCACCGCAGGCTCGATCATGCCCAGCGCTCCGTGGTGCGCGCCTGCAGCTGCTGCAGGGAGAGTTTGGTGGAGCAGCGGAGCGCCACTCTGCGCTGTGACGATGGCACCACAAGGAGCTACGCGTACGCCTTCGTCAGGGCCTGCTCCTGCCTGGCCCTGTGCTGACCGTGGTGACGATGACGATTATGGTGGTGGTGATGATGATGAAAATGACGGTGACGATGATGTTGAAGGGTGGTGGTGGTGACAGTGTTGGTGGTGACGATGATGACGATGATGATTACGGTGGTGGTGGTGATGATGATAGTGACGGTGACGATGATGTTAAGGGTGGTGGTGATGATGATGACAGTGACGGTGACGATGATGTTAAGGGTGGTGGTGATGATGTTGATAGTGACGGTGACGATGATATTGAGGCTGGTGGTGATGATGATGATAGTGACGGTGATGGTGATGATAATGACGATGATGTTAAGGGTGGTAGTGATGATGATGATGATAGTGACGGTGACGATGATGTTAAGGGTGGTGGTGATGATGTTGATAGTGACGGTGACGATGATATTGAGGCTGGTGGTGATGATGATGATAGTGACGGTGATGATAATGACGATGACGATGATGTTAAGGGTGGAGGTGATAGTGACGGTGACGATGATGTTAAGTGTGGTGGTGGTGATGATGGTGATAGTGACGGTGACGATGATGTTAAGTGTGGTGGTGATGATGATGATAGTGACGGTGACGATGATGTTAAGGGTGGTGGTGGTGATGATGATAGTGACGGTGACGATGATGTTAAGGGTGGTGGTGATGATGATAGTGACGGTGACGATGATGTTAAGTGTGGTGGTGGTGATGATGATGGTGGTGATAGTGACGGTGACGATGATGTTAAGTATGGTGGTGGTGATGATGATGATGATAGTGACTATGACGATGATGTTAAGGGTGGTGATGATGATGATAGTGACGGTGACGATGATGTTAAGGGTGGTGGTGATGATGATGATAGTGACGGTGACGATGATGTTAAGGGTGGTGGTGATGATGATGATGATAGTGACGGTGACGATGATGTTAAGGGTGGTGGTGGTGATGATGTTGATAGTGACGGTGACGATGATATTGAGGGTGGTGGTGATGATGATGATAGTGACGGTGATGATAATGACGATGACGATGATGTTAAGGGTGGTGGTGATGATGATAGTGACGGTGACGATGATGTTAAGTGTGGTGGTGGTGATGATGATGATGATGGTGATAGTGACGGTGACGATGATGTTAAGTGTGGTGGTGGTGATGATGATGATGATAGTGACTATGACGATGATGTTAAGGGTGGTGATGATGATGATAGTGACGGTGACGATGATGTTAAGGGTGGTGGTGATGATGATGATAGTGACGGTGACGATGATGTTAAGGGTGGTGGTGATGATGATGATAGTGACGGTGACGATGATGTTAAGGGTGGTGGTGGTGATGATGTTGATAGTGACGGTGATGTTAAGGGTGGTGGTGGTGACAGTGTTGGTGGTGGTGATGATGATGGTGGCCATGGTGGCGATGATGATGGTTACCAGGAGCTACGCGTACACATTTGTTCGTCAGGGCATGCTCCTGCCTGGCCCTGTGCTGACCGTGGTGACGATGACGATTATGGTGGTGGTGATGATGATGAAAATGACGGTGACGATGATGTTGAAGGGTGGTGGTGGTGACAGTGTTGGTGGTGACGATGATGACGATGATGATTACGGTGGTGGTGGTGATGATGATAGTGACGGTGACGATGATGTTAAGGGTGGTGGTGATGATGATGACAGTGACGGTGACGATGATGTTAAGGGTGGTGGTGATGATGTTGATAGTGACGGTGACGATGATATTGAGGCTGGTGGTGATGATGATGATAGTGACGGTGATGGTGATGATAATGACGATGATGTTAAGGGTGGTAGTGATGATGATGATGATAGTGACGGTGACGATGATGTTAAGGGTGGTGGTGATGATGTTGATAGTGACGGTGACGATGATATTGAGGCTGGTGGTGATGATGATGATAGTGACGGTGATGATAATGACGATGACGATGATGTTAAGGGTGGTGGTGATAGTGACGGTGACGATGATGTTAAGTGTGGTGGTGGTGATGATGGTGATAGTGACGGTGACGATGATGTTAAGTGTGGTGGTGATGATGATGATAGTGACGGTGACGATGATGTTAAGTGTGGTGGTGGTGATGATGATAATGACGGTGACGATGATGTTAAGGGTGGTGGTGGTGATGATGTTGATAGTGACGGTGACGATGATATTGAGGGTGGTGGTGATGATGATAGTGACGGTGATGGTGATGATAATGACGATGACGATGATGTTAAGGGTGGTGGTGATGATGATAGTGACGGTGACGATGATGTTAAGTGTGGTGGTGGTGATGATGATGGTGATAGTGACGGTGACGATGATGTTAAGTATGGTGGTGGTGATGATGATGATGATAGTGACTATGACGATGATGTTAAGGGTGGTGATGATGATGATAGTGACGGTGACGATGATGTTAAGGGTGGTGGTGATGATGATGATAGTGACGGTGACGATGATGTTAAGGGTGGTGGTGATGATGATGATGATAGTGACGGTGACGATGATGTTAAGGGTGGTGGTGGTGATGATGTTGATAGTGACGGTGACGATGATATTGAGGGTGGTGGTGATGATGATGATAGTGACGGTGATGATAATGACGATGACGATGATGTTAAGGGTGGTGGTGATGATGATAGTGACGGTGACGATGATGTTAAGGGTGGTGGTGATGATGATGATAGTGACGGTGACGATGATGTTAAGGGTGGTGGTGATGATGATGATAGTGACGGTGACGATGATGTTAAGGGTGGTGGTGGTGATGATGTTGATAGTGACGGTGATGTTAAGGGTGGTGGTGGTGACAGTGTTGGTGGTGATGATGATGGTGGCCATGGTGGCGATGATGATGGTTACCAGGAGCTACGCGTACACATTTGTTCGTCAGGGCCTGCTCCTGCCTAGCCCCGTGCTGACCACGGCCGCCTCACCTGCCATCTCTTCTCTACCCTCAATAGCCTCCTACACCCACCACCACCCCCTCCCCGCCCCTTTCCTCCGACCTCTCTGCCACTGACCTCAGCCCCCTTCTTCTTCCTCGCTTCAAAAGGCCGAACGCCGTTCGCTCCTCGTTCCCAGTCTCCACGTCCCCCCGGCCGCTCCCCCTCTTTCCAGCCCCTCACCAACTTCCTACTCCGTCCGCCCTCAACCACGCTGGGCAAACTCTCACTTACCACCTCCAAGGTCCAACCCCCTCATCGCCCCCCCCCCTCCCTGACCCTATCTCCTTTCTTCCCTACGTCCTTATCTCCATCCTTTCCCTACTTACTCTCTCTTTTCAATTCTTCTCCAATCTTCCGGTGTATTTCCTGCCGATTTCAAGTTGGCCATCATCGCCCCACTCCCTCGATGTCAACCGCCTCTCAAACCGCCGTCCCATTTCCCGGCTTCCCCCATTTCCTCCCCAAAGGTTTTCTCTATCGTCTTGTAAACTCCCTCCAGCCACATCAACCTCACCGCCTCCTCCGCCCCACTCCGCCAGTCGGGTATAGTAGTTTATAGTGTAGTGCATAGTGTAGTGTGCAGTGTAGTGTATAGTGTAAAGTAGTGTAGCGTACATTGTAGTGTATCGTAGTGTACAGAACCCCTTAACGACCCCTGTTAATGACTAATCGCTTAATGAGTATAGTGTAGTATATAGTAGTGTATAGAAGTGTAGTGTATAGTAGTGTATAGTAGTGCAGTGTATAGAAGTGTAGTGTATAGTAGTGTATAGTGTAGTGTATAGTAGTGCAGTGTATAGAAGTGTAGTGTATAGTAGCGTAGTGCCTCCATCGAGCTCAATGTGTTCACTTACCGACCATTCCCCTGTTAACGACGAGCCAAGTGGGGCTTTTACTGCACACGTGCACGTCTTCAATGAACGGTGATATTTCGGTGGACAGGAGTTTTTCAGTGGAACGAATTAAACCAAAAAAATGTATATGTATAGATTTAAATCCCAACATTAACCGAGGGGGGTGACCCTTTCCGCATAGCTCTCTCCGCTGGGCTCATAATTTCCAGGGGGAGGGGGGGGCAGAGGTCGCTTCCAGAGATTGATGCCGGCAGCACGAGGTCACCCTCGAAGCCTTTTGGCATCAGTTGCTCGAGAAAGGGGAACGGGCAACCCGGGGGTGGTGTTGGGAGCGGTGGCGGTGGTGTATCGGACGTCATGCAATTGCTGTTGCTCATGTGTGCGCATGTCGCGTCGTGTTTTTTTTCTTTGGGTGCAATAAAAGTGGCCGGTGCGGCGACAAATCCTTGAAGACTCAGTCGTGCTTTTCCACGCCGTCGGCGCGTACGTGCATTGCGTACGTACGTATGTACGTACGTACATATTTGTCTAAGTACGTGTGTGCGTGCGTACTGTCTCGGCCTCGCTGTGCGCTGCGTTGCACCACTATCCGAGTAGCTAACCTCGCATTCAATAAAACTTCAGAGCCAGGGTGAACATCTGACTCCAACGTATTTAATGAATGACGCGAGGTAAAACTGATGGAAAAACACAGCACAAAATACAGCATTTGTTAATCCTTGCAATATCAATACAATTGTAGTGGTTTAACACGCGCCAAGGGAGGAAATTGCACACACGTGCGTGTGGGGTACAGTGGGGGCATATCGGGGCACGCAGCTGTTGCCAGGGGAACGAAGGGTGAGTCGGAGATGGGCCGCTGGGCAATTAAGGATGCGAGGCTGTAATTGGCTGGTTGTTGTTGTGCGTGGGATGGCGCCTCCCAAGTCTGGGAAAAAAGACAGGTGGCAGCGGGCGCTGGGGGTGAGGGGCGTTGGGAGGATGCCAACTAATTAATTAGGAATTAATAAGGACCGGGGATAAATAGAAGGGAGTTTGAGAGTTGCAGGGAGTTGGAACGGAGTCGTGTCTGGGAAAGGATGCAGATGGTCGGAGCTGAAGAGAAGTATAGGGTAGCAGCGGAGTAACGGAAGTATAGAGTAGCAGTGGAGTAACGGAAGTATAGAGTAGCAGTGGAGTAACAGAAGTAAAGAGTAGCAGTGGAGTAACAGAAGTAAAGAGTAGCAGTGGAGTAACAGAAGTAAAGAGTAGCAGTGGAGTAACGGAAGTATAGAGTAGCAGTGGAATAACGGTAGTAGTATACAGTAGCAGTGGAATAACAGAAGAAGCTTAGAGTAGCAGTGGAGTGAAGGAAGAAGTATCGCGTAGCGGCTAGAGTGGAGTGAGACGCAGAAGCCGCGAGAGAGCGGCTGGAGTGAGATGGAGAAGCCGAGAGAGAGCGGCCGGACTGTGACGGAGGAGCAGAGAGGAGAGTCGGGAGAGACGGCAGAGCAGAGCGAGCGAGACCAGCGGAGCGTGGCAGGCGAGCGAAGAATGTGCCGGAGAATGTTGCTGGAATGTGCTGCGCTAGTAGAAATAAAGTGACGGCAGAAAAGCAAGAAGTTGTCCATGCAAAGTAAAGCACTACACAATGAGTGAACAC